AAAATAATATATTATAAATTAAAGTTATTATAACTGAATTAAATAACAGCTTTAACAGCACACTTGTTGTAACTTACTCAACTGATTATCCTTACTTGTAATTTATTCACCTCGCTATTCATCTTTTATGCATACAGTCAAGTGAAGTCGAGTGAAATGAAGTTTGTGGAACATGTCACAGTGTATAATTTATCAGCAGCTACAAAAACCACAATAAAAAGTATGCGATTGTTGCAAATAAAACATGGAAACATTGACTTGCATTTCAATCTTTGCTTGTTTGTTTATTTTGTGGAAAGTTCGAGCGCATCCTTTCATTCTTGTCCGCCCCTACCACACGCTGCGGTAACTGACAAATTTCACCCGTTTCAAAACTTCTCTTCTTTATTTTGGTTAAAGCAAAACTTTACTTTGGTGGCAGATAAGACGAGAAAGTTAAAATGATATCATTGTTTTCTACAATAGTTTTAATTGCGGCTTAAAGCCAAAATCATCGCTTGTGAACTACTTTGGGGAAAAGCACGTTGATTTTGGTAAAATTTTAAATAAACTTTCAGTTTCTCAAAATTTGTTCATTCTACAGTCACACTTTTTAGCTTATCGCGGCTATTTAGGGGTATATAAAGAGGGCAAAAGATGTCTTTTATTTTGTTGAAAATTTATACAAAAGCACAAATTTACTTCAGCTTTACTCATCAGTACCATAATTGCTAACAGAAAAATAAAATGGCTTGACGTGATACTTCTGAGTAACTAATGATTTTTCCTTTTATTAAATTCATTTCACTTCGTGCTTCTTAAGAGATTTTCATATTCCTTCAAAATATTCTCTCATACAAATACGTACTCCCAAAACTACTACCAATTACCTCGTTTTTCTTTTTCTATTATCAGTCAGTAAGTTAATTCAATTACATTAGATAATTATTTTCCCCATTTCAAATTGCCATTAAAATTTTGAAACACTTATTTTACGAATATGGAAATGAATTGCAAAAACATTTAAAGTGTGCTTTCAACGGGAATTGTTTTCGTTGAAGTGGAAGCGCCACATAAACTTTCTACATCTAGCATTCACGGCGTCGGTGCACAGTATTCTGGGAGAGGAAAGAAATTAAATATTTATTAATAATAACTACTGATTTTTACTGTCAAATTAATAGCCATATATAAGATATGTAAACAACATTTCGGGGGGCACAGGGGCCGTTTTCCATTTGAACTACGGTTTAGTTGAGCTTTGAGCTTCAAGGACATAACCGATGTGTCAAATATTCAGTAGGTTTACGAAACGGAAAATTTTAAATACTTACTTCGAAAATGGTCATGAGTCATGAGTTATGAACTGAAAAAATGTGCACGAATTTCGTGCGAAAAATCTCTCCTCTCAGTCAGTTTGTGGGCTAATTTGAGCAGCGAGTTGGTCAAACTGGTTCGCTACCCGACAAAACAACTCGTGTACGTGTTCGACGTTGAGCGGAAAAAATTACTGTGTTAGAACGGTCATCAATATCCATACGACACTGGTCGTAGGAATCAAACATTTCTCGCACCTTTTTTGTATGGAAACTTTTAAAGCCCAACCCAAACGATTTCGCTTCATAGAAGATGAGAATTTTTACTGTGAAATTATTTTTCGGACTCCAGCACGGCGCTTTGTGTAAAAAATACCGTTAAAATCGATAATACTTTGTAAATATCGTAAAAATATCCGAAAGGGCTACGTATACTGGCCACCTCACAGCAGCGATTCGACTATCTTGGATAATTTTTTTGTGAGTGGATACGATTCATGACTTGAAGCACGAAGCTGAAGTTCTAATTGCAGTCTTAGAAAGCAACACACTCGAAAAGAGGGTGATAGATTGGGTCGACAAACCAGATTATTTAAATGACAGGATATGCCAATGTTTTCAGAAGAGTTTCCTAAATATAATAAAAGTTTTGACAATGAAATTTATCGGAAGCGGTTAGGAAAAACCTGAAGATCCCTCTTGCAAAAAAATTAAGTTGAACACTACACAAATTGTAGTAAGAGCTCGATCGAAAATTTCGTCACCTTGTTAATCAGTGCTTCCTACTGTACAGAGGCAGCATATCAGAGAGTGTAATAAGTTTACTTTGCTAAGCATATTCTCCTGCCTAGAACCGACGACACCCTAGAGTATATTTTTGTCATTCATCTTTCGCACAGTGTACGTTATTTTTAAAACAGAATTTGTTCGCCATCATGAGACGTAATTGTATCAGAATTGACTCTTATTTAAAATACATTTTTTTGTATTATGTTCAGTTGAAGTTGTGAGCTTGCAGCAAATGTGGATTTAAATTTAGATTATCCAACCTTTTCTTTGATACTAAAATATCGTCTGTGAAGCCAACTAATTTAGATACTATTTAGCGGTTTTACTCTATAAATGGCCAGGATATAAGTTATTTAGACCTAAATTACTTATTTCACTTAACTTACAATCCGAATAATTTTCTGTACAATACGATGATTCGTCTAATGTCTCAAGTATCTGGATGAATCAAATGTTCATTCAGGTGTAAGATGGTTTTTGGAAATATTTATGTGGCTAAATCAGATGAGGATCATGCCTCATATAATGACATTTATATTTTTAATATATATAATGGGATTTACATCATTGCTAAAGCGATTTTAGTTTGACTACCCCTTCCGATTTGTAGTGTACGTCTGGGATGTTTTTGAAACAAATGTAGAGACCTGCAAAAAAAATTCTAAGAAGCCTCTTAACTGCTGATTGATTTTTATGGGAAACTTTTGATTTTTTTGACAAAAATACACTTGAAAGGTGCGATGGGCGACCTCAACAAACAAAAATATATTTTTGTTTAAATAAGTTTTTTTTTTTAATTTTGTACATTGGGCCAACCAATTATCTCTTGCATGGTAGCAAACATTGCGAACTACTCCGCTAATGTTGTATTAATAATTCATTCTTTTTATTCGGTACTAAATTTTCCTTACTGCTCTTTTGATATCGATTTTATCGTTTCGCTTAATTTTTTTCCAAAAATATATGTGATAAACCCACTGTACAGTAGTTGCAGGAGCTACCACACATGAATACTTACGAGTGGAAATAAAATGACATTCAAATGTGTGTGGGAGGAGCACATTAACACATACGCTGGCATATGCAGGAAATAAAAACACTCCAAAACTCTGCTGAGAGCATTCAACGCCAAACTTGTTTTATTCACTCAGAACTCATCAATGCCTCTCAGACCTCCCTCGATCCTCTCCGCTGTCTTCTATCAAACACTAGCGGCAACAAAGATAACTACCGTTATAGAGGCGCATATTTAGATTTATCCGTATATAGATATGTATGTATATGTTGAAATATTTGCCGTTGGCCTCGCTTTTGCCAAATCATAATTATTTTCCACAAAAACTTTTATTGAAACTAAACTAATTTACAAACAAGTAGCAGTGGCACAACAACTTGAGATTTTCAGTAATTACAAATTTTACTCCTGCCGAGTATATACGAGTATGTAAGTGTGATTATGACATGAGCTCCATGTTGGCAATGCCCTAAATCCAACAGATTGAGTTCGTAAGCTTAGTTTATAGCACTCTTCCGCTCTCCTTCTCTCTTACTCTGAGGTANTGGAAATATCAAATCAATACAAAATGCAGTATAATTTGACAAAACTACACCTTTCAATAACATAAACTAATGAGAATAACCCTTTGAAGTAATGTACGCATTGTTCGCATGCACGCGCGCGCACTGTGCAAATAACCGAAGTCGATTGTTGACGAAGTGCGCGCGGGGAGAACAATTCTTTCGTATAATTAACTGAATAAGAAGAAGAAAAACTATTGGTCTATTCTTTGATTCGGTATAAGTACAGAATATGTGAGCAAATTTTTATATAATGCTATGGCGCAGTTGGTAGCGCGCAAAAGCTAGATAGGTTTTTGGTCTTTTGCTTCTTGTGCAGGTTCAAATTCCTTCAATTTATTCAAAATTATTAAATTTTTTATTTTTATTTATTTTATTTAATACTTTTGGTATATTAATAATTAATATTTTTATAATGAACATAAAAATGGAAAAATTTAATTTTTAGGTTATGCTGTTGAGTAGTTAGCGCGTACGTATGCACATATACATATGTACATATGTATTTATATTTTTAGTGTTTGGTTTCTGGCGCTGGTTCAAATTTCCTTCGAAGGAGCCTTAATATATTATTAATTATTATATATTTTTATACCAATTTTTAATTTTGTTATTTTTTATTATAATTATTTATAATAAATTTTTATTATAATAAAGAAATTTCTTGTAGATTTGTAAATTTCCATTAAATTTATATTATATTTCTATTGATTTTACTTCTGTTGTCGTCAATAACAGTTTTTATTTATGCTAAACTGTCAAATCTGTTAGTTTACAGCCAAATTTTAACAGAGTGGTGAATCCCTTTCCCGAGATTTTCTAGCTCTGTAGAAACTTCAATCGAGCATCGAACAAAAAGTCAATTGCACCTTCTCGTTATTTTAAGTTCTCTGCCAGACCTCCCTCGATCCTCTCCGCTGTCTTCTATCAAACACTAGCGGCAACAAAGATAACTACCGTTATAGAGGCGCATATTTAGATTTATCCGTATATAGATATGTATGTATATGTTGAAATATTTGCCGTTGGCCTCGCTTTTGCCAAATCATAATTATTTTCCACAAAAACTTTTATTGAAACTAAACTAATTTACAAACAAGTAGCAGTGGCACAACAACTTGAGATTTTCAGTAATTACAAATTTTACTCCTGACGAGTATATACGAGTATGTTAGTGTGATTATGACATGAGCTCCATGTTGGCAATGCCCTAAATCCAACAGATTGAGTTCGTAAGCTTAGTTTATAGCACTCTTCCTCTCTCCTTCTCTCTTACTCTTAAGTATAATAATTTTGCTTTATTTTTTATTTTTAATAAAAACCAATTTGTCCTTGCAGCAATTCTTCTGGTTCAAAGGAGACTGCGACACCAACAACCACACAGTCACGACCAGCTGGCACTGCGGCAGGTGGCAATTCAGCGGATGTAGCAGCAGGAGCAGCAGCAGCAGCGGGAGCAGGTACTGGTGGCGGTGGTAGCGGTGGCGCGCAACAAGATGCCGCAGCCAGAGAAGATATGTTGGCGATTAAGAAACAAGAACGGGAGCCGCATGATCCCTTCGATGATCTATTACGCCTCTTGTCTGGCCTAGATAAGACTGACTATTCGCATGTGCTGATCGATGATGATGGTTCGGTGGTGACGGAGAATCCCACATTCTCCGATTTAACTGGCATGAAACCGAGGTGAGTGCGCGCCGAATATATTTTTCTAACACAATTACTTATTGATGGCCGAACATTATTTGAACCAAAAAAAGAGAGATACTTCTAGCTGAAGATTCTAAACAAATAAACTTCAATTGCTGGTTCATATAAGCCCAGATTTTGTGTCATTTATACCTGTTTTACTGATATAAAAAATGCATGAAGTTTTTATTTGAATCGATAGCACAGTCCATATTATTTAGTCTTTGAAGCTTATTTCATGCAAATGTGGACCATAACTGCGCCTCAAATGGTCCACCCTTTTGGTCTAATTTAGGCATACTCCTTCCAACACTTCGGCCGGTATCTCATGAATAAATGCTGCAATGTTGTCCACCAATGCGCCAATTGAAGCGGGCTTGTCTGTATGGAATTTAGATTGAACATAGCCCCACAAAAAATAGTCTAAAGCCGTCAAATCGCACGATCTAGGCGACCAATTGACGTGCCCCGAACGTAGAATAAAATGGTCACCGACTCGCCTCTCAATAAGTCCATTGTTACGCGTGCTGGGTGGCATGTGGCACCGTCTTGTTGAAACCACATGTCATGCAAGTCAAGCTCTTGCATTTCGGGAAAAAAACAAGTTTGATATAATCTCACGATAGCGCTCACCATTAACAGTTACGTTACGATTCGCATCATCTCTGAAGAACAAGACGGTCCAATGATGCCATCAGCCCATAAACCGCACCAAAATGTGAGTTTTTCTGGATGCATTGGCAGCTCTTGCAATGCTTCTGGCTGATCTTCGCTCCATAATCGAAAATTCTGCTTATTTACGCACCCATAAAGCCGAAAATGAGCTCGTTGTTCGTTTGTAAGACGGTCTATTGTGGAATTATAAACCAAACGAAAAATGCTTGACAGTGATACAAAGCACAAAACGTGCGTCAGCCGGTTAAGCCAGTGTTGTCAAAAAGATAATAGCTAAAAAATAAGCCTTTATTAAGAAAATTCTCTTGTCGGTAACATGAATTGACGTAAACGTATTGCTCTTTCGAAATATTATTAGCGGCAAATGGGTTGGGAAATTTGATATTCATGGAGAACATTATGGGCCGGTACGGTTATTTGAGCATTTTAAAAAGTAATTTAAGACAAAGCGCTATTGAAGGCTTCATTCAATTGCCAGCAAGATAATCACCCATAGAACACTGCCGGATACCAACTCTATTGAGCATGGGAGTACTTAAAGTCCCAAAAAAAAAATTAGCATAGCAAATTTAGAACAACTTACAAGTATTCTTGAAGAGAATTAACAGAAAAACTGGTGAAATCAATGTCTACACGTTTTAAAACCATTGTTAAGTCTCAATGATATCCAACAAATACTAGGATATAATTTTGAGACTGTATTTTGCATAGCGTATCGCTATNTTTGCTTCGGGATCACCCAAGTTGAGAAATGTGTCTGGCCGCTGTAGAAAATTTTGTTCAAGCACGACTCGACGTATGAATATATCACCCATAGAACACTGCCGGATACCAACTCTATTGAGCATGGGAGTACTTAAAGTCCCAAAATACGTTAGCATAACAAATAAGGAACAACTTACGAGTATTTTTGAAGAAAATTGTCGAAATCAATGTCTACACGTTTTAAAGCCATTGTTAAGTCTCAATGATATCCAACAAATACTAGGATATAATTTTGAGACTGTATTTTGCATAGCGTGTCGCTATTTATTCTATTGTATACCTACTTTTATTGTTGTTGTTGTTGTAGCGGTTCGCTAACCTCCTACGGTACAGGTTTGATCAATCGAAGTCGCCGAGGTCATCTAGTGGGAGGTCTAGGCAACGTGCTCTTTCGACGGTATTGTACCAGAGGGACGAGGGGGTTGAATTGAGTCGGTTCAGAGGGTCATGCGAAGAGTTGGTTAGTGTCGTGCAGAGACTCTCCACATACAGGGCAAACGTTGGATATGTTGGGTTCGAGTATGGATAAGTCGGAGTTTAACCTGGCACAGTATCCAGACCTAAGTTGTGGTGCCAAGGTCACGCGGTCCTCTCGAGACAGCTTGAGCTCGTTGTCTGCACTCCGAGCACGCCACTCTCTGGAAGGGAGTCTTTGAAGGTGTTGACTGACTCCTGGTGATTGACAGTTATTGTACTTATTGCTGGATAATGTTTTTCAAGTCGAGTACTGTTTCTTTAGCACGCAGCATAGGTGCTTCACTGTGCAAGTAATGCTCCGGTGATATCAGGAGGTATCTTGTCGCAGTTCTGAATTCCTATGCAGTCTTGTTTAAAACCCTAAAAAAATTGGTTTTAGATATTTTATAAATAATTTAGTACCCAAGAAATTTTGGAAGTTTCTTTCAAGTAAATAAATCACAATTTGATTATATTTTTTGTTATTTAAAAATTTCGTCCATAAAATAATCTTCACACCTAGTGTATACTTACTTATGTGACTAACTGTATATTTACACTTCTACATTTGCCATAATGTAACTGTCAACCAGAGTCTCTAATGTGATTTTACAAAAATAATGCCTTATTTTCTTTTTCACCTCGCGTATGCACCGTAGTAATTCCCTAGAAATTAGTGCCAACTTGCAGAATTCCTCCTCACACATATGTATATACATATACAAGTACAGGTATTTATGTGTCAACTGGTAATTGCAAAATCGCAAGATATATTGCAATTCTTTCGCCATGCTTTGTTCTAGGCTAAGTTAGTGGCATCCTCGTGCAAGGCTTTGAGGTCCACATAATAATACATTTACTTGAAGTGAATGAATATGATATACCTATACATGAATACATACAATATACAGGGTTGTATATTTTGCCGTCTCGAAAATAAACGTAAATAAAATGCATTTAAAATATTTTTCTTTTCATCAAAATAATTTTTTAATATTAAGTTTGAAACTCGGCTTGTGAAGCTCTACATCATTCAAAGGAACGAACGCCTCACGAATTTCTGCAAACTACGGTTCTTTTGAGCTAATTTTCGAACACTTTTTGTCAACTTCTGTATGTTATCTCAGCTATAATTGCTCAAGAGTTAAAGACTTACTCAACTGAGCACGGTCTTTGCCGTAGGCTCACGATCTCGGTAACCAATTGATTTTCGCCAGCACGATAGGTTACATGGCCGGTAAATTACTCTAGCAATAAACTCATATTCGCTCGCACAACGCATTAAATAGATAGTGACAGTCTTGGCGTTGGCATTTTCAAAGAAGTAAACTCCAATCATAGCGCCGGTCCAAAGAGCGCACCAGACACTAAATTTTTGGGTGTAATTGTCTCTCTTTAACTATTTGAGTACTCTCGGCGCACCAAATGGGACAATTTTGCTTCGGGATCACCCAAGTTGAGAAATGTGTCTGGCCGCTGTAGAAAATTTTGTTCAAGCACGACTCGACGTATGAATATATTTGTACGGCGTTGTGAATGTTCAATGGTTGTAGTTGTTGTGGGAGCTGGACTTTATTTAGGTGTAAGACGAGGTGCAAAATACGTCATAATGAGCCGTTACAGCTCTTGAGCACCTGGAAAATATACAAATTTGGGTCTTCCCCTATACTTTCTCCTCGGTAGTGATATTTGATATGAAAAAAGCGACAGGATGATGCACAGGCCTTACAATATCCGTAACCGAGCTATCTCTTCATATTTCTTTCATATTTTACCAAATTGCTTGAGCAGTTTGGACGACTTTTTGTACCATAATCTAAATGCATATATTTAGGGTTTTGTCCTGAGTGCCTGACGGAGCAAGCCACATCCTAAACCACTCTTGGTAGAGACCGGAAGGTTCGAGGCTGTGTTCTCATTCGACCGATCTATGTGAAAAAATCGAATTTATTTTTAATTCGTTTTGTTCGCGGCCGCGGTAGCCAAGTGGTTAGTATTGCGTATTGACATCCAGAAGGCACGGACACCTATCCCGGTGCCACCAACATCCAAGAGTTATGGAAAATTTATTTAAATAAAAAATTAAGTTCAACTTTCTAATTGCGGTCGCCCCGCGGCAGGCAATGTGCACCGCTCTGAGTGTATTTCCGACATGAAATAAAGGCTCCTCGTAAAGAAACCAGCAGGCATTCGGAGGCGGCCTAGTATAAACTGTAGGTCACTCCATTTGTTGGAAAAACATCAAGACGCAAAAGCCACAAATTGGAGGAGGAGCTCGGAGCAATTAATAAATTGCCTTTTTCTTCTTCTCAATATGTGGAACATATGCAGGTGGCGCTTTGCACAGGTCAATATGTGGAGAGCTGTTCGAAAAACTCATATTCATAGTTTCATTTGCTTGATGTCTGGAAGAAGCTATCTATCTCCCAGCCTAGGCTAACTTGTCGGAAATCTTTTTCTTACAAATATAAGTAAAAACCTAATAAAAATCTTCCTTATAATCCATACTAGAATTCTATGCGGACGAAGTCGCGGGCAACCTCTAGGTTTTATAAAAATTTTGACGCGTTGTGTGGTTTCTTCAAATGCCTTTCAGCTAAATTAAAACGTAGTTGGCTTCGCATGCCATTATACACCATTGTACTTTTGAAACCAAGAAATGGTTAACCCTATGCTTTACATACTGTGCGATGCAGCATACCTAAATATGATATTGTAGTATATATGTACATATGTTCCCATACATATATTCATAAGTTTTTTTTTGAATGCTTGGCATTATACATATGTAATTACATAGATAAAAAGCCAACCTGTGCATGGTCTAGGCATTTTACCGGGAAATAGCACATTTTCAACATTGTTGCAGCACTTTGGCGGTTATGTGTGTGTGTGTGTGTGTGTGTGTGTACGTATGTATTGCAAAAACTGCCTGACATAGTTTTGTTGCGCTTTGACATGGTATGACATGACCTCACGACATAATAACGGGAATGACATTGCATTAAATTTTTACATCCACACAGCGTTTTTAATCAAGTGCATTTCTTCCGTATGCCAACTTTTTGAAATTAAATGGAAAAATATTCACTAAGAGACAA